ATGTTCATTCCTTGGTTGCATCACTTTATGTTCATTCCTTGGTTACATCACTTTATGTTCATTCCTTGGTTACATCACTTTATGTTCATTCCTTGGTAAGTGCAGTGGGAAGACATTCATAACTGGGCATGATACCAGGTGTCATTTTTTTAAATGTGTGTTTTAGCTTTGTAAAATTCTATTTTTCTGAACTAAATTAGAAGTCTTGATGTGCCATGTATAATTAGATTTTAGATCAATAGCATCAATTATCACCAACGTAATTTGATGCTAGGTAGTCATTGTCAGCAATAGCAATTTGTGATTTTAAAAAGGGATGAAAACTAGCAATAAAGAACTCAAAACATTATCTCTTCTTGCTATTATAATTCTAAATTTGTCTATTTCTCCATCAAACTACTAAACTCCTCTACTCTTTCATGACCTCAAAAATCTGACCTAAAGACAAATTAAAATGTTTGAGAAAACAGAATAATGAATATGTTATTTTAGAGATTTTTATAACTTGCTTGCTTATTTTTTTTTTCTAAATACTATTATTAATAGTTTTATTCCAATGTCCCACTTTTCTTTTCAGATGTTTGAAGGGAAGCCAATATTAAAGATGTACCATCACACTGACTACCATGATGTTTCCATTATTTATCCACTGGAAGAAAAAGAGAAGCTGAGGAAAGCTAAAAAGGAAGCAGCCTTGATTGCTTTAGCTAAAGCTAGAGCTCAGAGGCAGCAGAAGAAAAAAAATAAAAAGAAATTGAGCAAAATAAAGGCTGTGGAGACCAAAAGAAAAAAGAAAATAAAAAAACGTAAAAGTCATAAGGTTAGTATTTCAGAAAAAAATGCATTCACTAGTTCTGATTCAAAAAACCCAGAAGATAGTGTTGCACAGACTTTAGCAGATTCTGGGAAGAAGGAGGCAAAAGAAAATAAAGATACAATCAAACCAAAAATATTAGAATCAAAAGAAGAATCTGTGATGAATAAGTGTAAGAATGCACCTGTACTAATCCCATCCAAAGAAAGTGATGGTATGTCAGATAGTCCTGCCAGCAGTTTGACCAGATCTACTTATACCAATATATTCATGCCATCAGCAACATCATCCCCCATCAACATTAAGAGCTCAAGCTCTTCAAGTACATCTCATACAAGCAGCATAGCAGACTCCATATCACATGCCAACTTAAACAGCTTGACTGAAACAGTACCATTAGTTGTTAGTGACTCAACAACTGCTGACAAGCCATGCCCAGGAAGCTCATCTAATGTAACTCTGGATAATGAAATTCAGAACCCTTCTCATCAATCTGAAAACGCAAAACAACCTCCCAATAGGACTAAATCTAGTACCAGAGTGTCTAAAACCAAAAGATCTAAGACATCCACAGTTGCCTTGCAACCAGAACTAATAACACCAATGGCTAATCCACATCTACCTGCCAGTATGCTTCAGCCAATTTCTTTAATTCCACCCATAACAAACTCACCTGTGAGATTCCCTACTCCTGTTGCACATCATCCTAGTATTTCCACCACACCAATTATTCATACAAGAATACCTGTTATGGTATTTCTACAGCCACAAGAAACCCTCCCAGAAAGTCCTAAAAAAGAAGAGCCCTGGAAGCCAAGTACTAAGAAATCTAGGAAGAGCAAATCCGAAGCAAGTAAAGCTACCCCAAGCCTGTCAACTGATCCAATCCATGACAAGGAAGACAAACTCTGTGATGAGCCATTAGAAATTGGGGAGCAAAATACATCTACACCTATAAAACCAGTGAATGAGGAGTACAGCCAAATTGTACATTCACCTTCAGTAAAAATTGTCTCTTCACTCTCTAAATCACCACTGGGCATAGAACAGATGGAGCCATCTTCCCCCAGGATTAGTTCATATGAAAACTCTGATGAAAGAGATATGCACACTGAGGTTGCAACTGAAAGTGTACCATGTGCTTCTTCAACTCAGAACAGAACATTACTGTCCACAATTGATCTCCACACCTCAGACACCTCAAGCTTATTTCATTTCTCACCTTCCAAGTTTAAAGGCAAAATCCCAGACGTTGTTAAGGCTTATCTGGATAATTTTTCACTTGGTGGCTTTGATGAGTCTATGGACATACATGTTCATCAATTGGCTCAGGCGATGTCACCAGGTAAGTCAGGAAATACATCTTCAAGATTCAATCTCCTGACTTACCTGGAATCCTCTAATTTGACCTTGAAAGATGGCACTAACATGGGTGTGACCAAATCTGTCAATGAGACTGAAACCAGGTTATCATTTTCTGGAGCCTTATCAGAACCAGAAAACAGTATGCCAACCAAAGAAAGTGGCAGAATCAATGATACTCCTTTAGATTCAACCACAAATGTTCAGACTGTTCCTGTTGCACTACAAGAGTCAAACAAGGTGAAAGAAGCATCATCATCAAAGTTAACTGCTGAGGTTACACCAGAAGTGGAAGATACAGATGAATGGTCTGAGTAAGTTATGTTTATTTTCTAATATTTTTTTACTCATGGATAGTATTAATCTGTTGAATTTCTGTGGGATACTTTGTTTACTATGACATTTATGACAGTATGACCTCTTTAGTCCCAATGCAAGTTGATGGGCTGTGGGATTGTGTTGTAAAGAATGTAATACAAGTTGCAATGTGTAAATCTGGCATATTCTTTGTTGTTATAATACAAACACATTTCCCTAACAACTAAAGCACAGAGAATCATCCACAAATTTGTATTTAAACATGTAAAATAAATTCCATAATTTTCTTGCTATCTTTGAATTATTCAGTTCTAATATAATAGCTTTATGAACCTAAACTTATGAACAAAACTGCATATATCATCCTTTCCCATTCTTTATTTTTTCTTGAGTTTCCAGGATTCTTGAGATTTCTAGACAATTGTGATGACATCACAGAAGAATTTCCTAAGCTATATTTAACTATTCCTATATCAGTTTTTTTATTCTCATATCAATGATGTCATTCTAGTTAAAATGTTCAAAGAGAGGCTTCTTGGGTTTGCTAAATGACATGTCAAGCTTACATTGTTAAAAAATTATTTGAATAAACTATGTGGTACTTTGAGTACTAAAGAGCTCTAAATAACATCTAATAAAAGTAAACTTCATCATCTCAGGTGTGCCTGTAGTCCCGTCTGGGGCATAGGCCACCAACCCAGTGTCCTGCAGGGGTCTTAGTTCTAGGCTTGTCTCCAACTTTCCACATGTCTTGCACATCTTCTTGACATCTGCATCCTAATCTTGGCATTAATGTATATCTGGGCCATCCCTTCTTCCTTTTTAGTGAATTATTTTTGCTATTCAACACCCAATGTTACTGTAATGTATTTGCTCTTCTTGTTTTCTTTCAAGATAGTATTGGTAAAGCTGGGTATTTTTTGTTTAAGATAAGTATAAGTTTTTCTAAAATTAGGTAACATTCACTGAAATAAATTCTTGGGACACTTAAACTTTGACTGGTCTCTAATATTTTTATGGGTAAAAAAACTTGCATGATAAATAACTGAGTCACTAAAATATTTTTTTTTTGTTTAAATTTCAATTATTTAAGGTGAAAATTAAAGGTTATTCTAAAATTTTGTGGCATATTTTTTTTTCTCATGGAAATAATAATACTAATCCACAGAGATTGGGATAGATCCATTTTAACCATTGTAGCAGAAGAAGGCATCACTGCCCTGTCATTAAAAAAGATTCAACATTTTATACCTGAGAAATCCACCACTGAGGTCAGACATTGTTCATATGTGAAATTCATTTCTATTATTTTTAAAACTTAAATATTTCAGTAGAAGAGCACATCTGGTCTTAGAGATGACAAATAAAAGAATCCTTCTCACTTTGTTTTACATTGACAATTATAATTGCCTTTCTTTGTGTCCACAGATTCTGGAGCGAGCTAAGTTTCTGCTACAGATGTTGCAGACGGTTGGTGATAGTGAAAGTGATACAGGTGTTTCATGTGATGACACTTCTAATATGTGAACATTAAACATAGTTTCCTAATAGTGAAGAAGTAGAATTTAGTAAGGCACGAAGACAACAAATGTTAACACTTGGAGAAAGACAGTGGCATGAACAACTGTACAAAGAGAGGACACTTATACACATTCACTTTACTTGGAGGCTTATAATTAGTTTCCTCTTTTTTTCTCCTTTGATAGACAAATTTAATTAATAGAAATTCAACCTATATTTGTGGATCAGATTTGTATATCATGTTTCATCTATGTAAATCACAGCTAGACAATTTCACTTGATTCTTGATTTATTTGTTGATGTACATTATGTACATATTTACTTAAGTTGTTAGTTTGTTTTGTTTTCTTTCTTTTTTTTTTAAACTCATATGTGCAATAAGCTCCCCACACTGAAACTTTGAAAGCTTTCATGTCATTTCATAGAATTTAGCACAAATTTTGTTATGACATACACAAAATTAATTGCAATAGTACTTTTTGTCCATGCTCATAAAATACTTAGAAAGTTTTTAAAATTATTGACAGAATTACAGTATAACCTTGATATATAGAACTAATATATTAAAGGCTACATAATTTAGAAAATCCAGACTGAACTTGAGTTTAACCTGTTTATAAATATGGGTTTTATTGAGACTATTGAGTCTGCGCTGTTCAGATCCATATTATATAACTGCATGGTAATTTGAATATTATTTTTAGTACTTAAAAGAAATTTAAAGAGTGTAGTATATATGTATAAAATTTAAATCGAGGTGTACGAAAAAACTTATGTTTGAACAAATAAATTTTTACCAAGCTCATTTCCTACCATTTAGTTGAAGATTTCTGTTAGGAATTTATTTATTTTTATTCCAGAAGTAACATTTGTAACTGATGAAACAAAAACATATAATGTCAGATTTTATTATTTTTTTTATTATTAATGTGAGTTAAAGGCCTTGTATCTTTTGTGCAGTTGTGTATTTGCTAATAATCCATTAACTGTTTGTTTATATCAGATTCTATTAGAAGAAGTATTAACGTGAGTGGGAAAGGCGTTTGTGAAAATTTAAATAGTGAGAATTTAGAGATTCTTTTGTATGGTGTGATATGAAGGGAGATAATACCGGTATACTATATAAAGTATCACATAGCTACAGTCAGTGAATTCTCATGAAAGCAATACAGTTTGTGATCTCCCCTCATTGTTCTTCTCTTCTTACAACCATAAAACTATTCTTCTACCAGTGTATATTCAATATGGTCTCTGAGTTATGTGTTTCATTTGTTCTCCTAAAATGAGTCTTAATGCTCGCTAGGCATGATGACTGGAGAGTTATAAATCTGTGGTAGCAGAAAGAGCTGTGAAATATGATAAGTGACATGTTGTGACAGATTGCTGGTAGAATTTTGACAGTTTTCGTTTTGTTTTATTTCTATGATTATGGATCTAATTTAAAAAGAAGTGTTAAAATATAGAAATAGTTTGTAGTACAATTTTTATAAATGATATTTTGATTATTGGATACATTTTTGAAGTTTAGTTTGTAAAGGATATAATATCTATTCATAAGTCATAAGGATAGCTTGTTAAAGTATAATAATTGAAATGATTAAATGTTAGTTGATAGCCTGTTACATGTAATAGGAAGACTGAATGTATATAAATATTTAACTAAATGACCATGTGCTAAATCCAGTTGACAGCTTGTCTTGTCACATGTAAGACTAGGGTGTAAATAACTTGTTAACTAAATGACCATGTGCTAGATCCAGTTGACAGCTTGTCTTGTCACATGTAAATCTTGGGTGTAAATAACTTGTAACTAAATGACCATGTGCTAGATCCAGTTATCCACTTGTCTTGTCACATGTAAGACTTGAGTGTAAATATTTTAACTAAATGATTATAAATGCTGGTTAAGACCTTGCCATATTAACTGACTGTTAGTACTTGTAAGTTTCTAAAATTAGTCACTAAGTATGTGCAGATACATATTGGCTGGCTGTCACAGACACTTTTATCTCAACAACTTGTGTGAAGACTAGAGAAGTAAGGGACAAGACTCAGTGAGGAGAAAACAGACGAGGTTATAGGAACCTATGGAAGAACTGACACAATGTATTGAAAGTTGTTTTTGTTGAACATGGAAGTTAATTGTCTAGTTGGTAATTGTTTATAAATATTAAAAAAAAAAATTCTTTAGTAGTAAGATGCTCTTGAGATAAGTATGCAGGTCCTCTGGTAATTAAGTATTCATTGTTTACTCAAGAGATTGTTGGCTACAAGGACTCGCTCTTATAGTTTAGCGTACAAGTGTAAATGGAATGAAATAGACCAACCTAGTGCTTTCTTTCAGAATTGTATTCAACTAGAAATAGCGTAATTATAATATATTCATTCAAAATAGGTCAAAGGGCGTGGCTGTAAGGAAAAGCTGCTAGTAGCAGCAGAGCTGGGTATGTGATGGACTACTTTCAAGTTTTAGTTTGTGTGTAATGTATCATGACAGTAATTAACATGTTCATAATAGTCCTTGGCTCTCGATTTTTTTTTTTAAAGTTAGGCTTTAACCTCCACATCACCTTAAGGTCCTTAAATATCTCTTATGACTCAGTCCCCAAACATACAGCATAAAGAAAAAATTAGAAGGGTTGCCATGAGCCATGGAAAGATTGCATCTTGTCTAAAGGGTAATTGTCAACATACTTACTTTCATTGTTAAGGTAAAGATAGGAAGGGGATGTAGAGTTGATTTCATGATATCACTCCATCTTTTCCTTGGCCCTTCTAACATCATTTCAAAGTTCCCAAGATTTCATACAATATGAAACAGTCTACTTTGACGTCTCTGTAGTCTTATTTGACTTCTGTGTAGTCTACAAACGTTAGAACCTACAAATAAATCTGGGAAATGATTTTTTAATTCTCGACCCTGGAGAGCGGAGATAATTTACATAAGTGAGGGCATCCTTGCTGAAGAGGTCAGAGTAAATTAAGCCCATGTCTTTAGAGTAATTCTAAAAATAGCGTCTCCTCTGTCAGTTGTAGTAATCTGAATTTCTGGTTAGACCTAAAATGTTTGTATCAACGTACTCTTCTAGTTTACCAAAACCTACTGGAAAGAAAAATAAACGTTATACTTTCCACCAGAGCTTACGTTACAAAGTGAAAGGGACGATTGGAAGCATAATTAACCCTTTAAACGCGTATGGTAGGTTAGCCTCTAAACATCAGAATCGAAATTCCATTTTGTATGCATTCATTGTAAAACAGCTCAGCACTTTAAGGGTTAACCACTTCTTTCCTTTCTCTTCAAACTTCTGTAACATAATAGACGATGCAGACCACACTATTACTAGACTTTTGTTAAGCAGTTTCACCTACGTTACAATATTGACATCCATAACAATGATCAAAATGCGATCTGTGCGTCTTACGTATAATAAAGACTGATCTAGGAAACGTAGGCCTACAATTTTTCTGTAGGCTTAAAGGAAGGACCAAATTGACCACACTTAAAGTGAATAGAACGAACAGTTGTACAAAGAAAGAGTTGCCGACCTACTGCCTCCTTCCTGCGCTGACTTAATTCACCATCACGTTCAATGTATTTCTCATCCGTTGCCAACTTATTATTATTTTGTTGTTGTTGATTTCTAATGTTCTACATGTTTCGGATGTTTTTTCAGAGTTGAAGATAATCTGCTTTCTAGTCCAAACCTCCCTCCCATCGAGGCGACCAAACGACAGTCTATAGCGCGTATATCCCACGACCAAAGTTCTACAGGAAAATGTTTGCAAATCTCGAAGTTTTTTGTGATATAGCCTTGAGCAGTAGGAGGAGGAGGTTTCGTTGTTTTTTTCGGACAATCTTTGTTTAAAAAATATAAATTAAACTTTCTTTACCCCCCCCCCCCCACCCCCACACACAAAACTTGCGTTTTCTGGTTGAAGTAAGATTTTTTTTTAAACTTGTGATAAAAAGAAATAAATGTAGCAGACTTTAGTAATAATATTTAAAAAAAATCTAACTCACTAAAATAACACAACCTTTCAGTCTCACGTTCTGGAGTCGTCAGTCCTAAGACCAAATGACGACAATGCCATCTATGTTGCATGATTCACAACCAATCACTAACCTCTTCCCACCATAACCCTCACCATAGAAACGCACACACACACACACACACTCCATAACACTCTCCATATGACAGCCTCGTTAACCGTGGGCCGCAGAAACAAATCTTTACATCTGCCCAATAGATCACAAGGTCTGAAAGGGTAACTTTCCTTTTAAAAAAAAAAAGTATTATCAAGAAATTTGAGCCTTATAGAAACGTTACGAAATAGAGTCTAATATTTCTGTAGGCATGTTGGCTAATATAGAACTCTTCAAATGATTAAGTGGGAAACAAAACATTACGTACCATTTTCCCCATTAGAAATGAGTAATTTTGTCATTCTCAACAGCTGCCACTCATATATAAATAAGCCCTATATATGTAGACCAAAAATACCTACAATTGTGAGTCACACTCATGTGCACTAACAGGCTACATGAGTAGAGTATATTTTCTTAACGTTTTTTCAAAAGTTAAGATCACCCACCATATGTGCAATTCTGTAGAGCCTTGATTGAAGTATTGCGTACTGGTTGAGTTTATACAACTTGCACTTTTGTGTGATTCATTCGCCCCATAGCGCTTCCCTCCATAGAATGAGGCCTTAAAATAACGAGAATGTTTGTTTTCCAGATCCACAAAACGAAATATGCATTTACTGGCATCAGTCCCTCGCTACAGTTACATGCAGTGTCTTTATGCTTTCACATCATGTCTACAGTTACATGTAGTGTCTTTATGCTTTCACATCATGTATACAGTAACGTGCAGTGTCTTTATGCTTTCACATCCTGTCTACAGTAACGTGCAGTGTCTGTATGCTTTCATATCATGTCTACAGTTACATGTAGTGTCTTTATGCTTTTACATCCTGTCTACAGTTACGTGCAGTGTCTTTATGCTTTCACATCCTGTCTACAGTAACATGTAGTGTCTTTATGCTTTCACATCATGTCTACAGTTACATGCAGTGTCTTTATGCTTTCACATCTTGTCTACAGTTACATGCAGTGTCTTTATGCTTTCACATCCTGTCTACAGTTACATGCAATGTCTTTATGCTTTCACATCCTGTCTACAATTACATTCAGTGTCTTTATGCTTTCACATCATGTCTGCAGTTACATGAAGTGTCTTTATGCTTTCACATCCTGTCTACAGTTACATGTAGTGTCTTTATGCTTTCACATCCTGTCTACAGTTACATGTAGTGTCTTTATGCTTTCACATCCTATCTACAGTAACATGTAGTGTCTTTATGCTTCCACATCCTGTCTACAGTTACATGCAATTTCTTTATGCTTTCACATCATGTCTGCAGTTACATGCAGTGTCTTTATGCTTTCACATTCTGTCTACAGTTACATGCAGTGTCTTTATGCTTTCACATCATGTCTGCAGTTACATGAAGTGTCTTTATGCTTTCACATCCTGTCTACAGTTACATGTAGTGTCTTTATGCTTTCACATCCTGTCTACAGTTACATGTAGTGTCTTTATGCTTTCACATCCTATCTACAGTAACATGTAGTGTCTTTATGCTTCCACATCCTGTCTACAGTTACATGCAATTTCTTTATGCTTTCACATCATGTCTGCAGTTACATGCAGTGTCTTTATGCTTTCACATTCTGTCTACAGTTACATGCAGTGTCTTTATGCTTTCACATCCTGTCTACAGTTACATGCAGTGTCTTTATGCTTTCACATCCTGTCTACAGTTACATGCAGTGTCTTTATGCTTTCACATCCTGTCTACAGTAACGTGCCGTGTCTTTATGCTTTCACATCCTGTCTACAGTAACGTGCAGTGTCTTTATGCTTTCACAACATGTCTACAGTAACATGTAGTGTCTTTTTGCTTTCACATCATGTCTACAGTAACATGTAGTGTCTTTTTGCTTTCACATCCTGTCTACAGTAACGTGCCGTGTCTTTATGCTTTCACGTAATTTCTACAGTAAAGTGCAGTGTCTTTATGCTTTCACATCATGTCTACAGTAACGTGCCGTGTCTTTTTGCTTTCACATCCTGTCTACAGTAACGTGCCGTGTCTTTATGCTTTCATGCCATATATACTGTAACCTTTATACGTATGAGTTCCTGTAATGGAATATTTCACTGTTATAATTATAATGGTATAATTTTATTTGATTAACTCAGCCAATTTGACTTAAGGATAAAACCTAACGCTTGACTGTACATTTTGGTCAGTAATGGTGATGGAGGAAATGACCAGACAGACGACCGCTAGTAAACCATATGTTGTACGTATTTTTCGTTTGTTGGGTACAGAAGTCAATTTTACTCAGTGTCTGAGTAGCCCATTCTTCTTCGTGCGAATGTTATTAATTGATTAATCTGTCATCAAATTTCATGTTGGATACGCGTTCCCCTCATCCAAATTAAAACACCTCCCCCCCATCATTAATTTCCACTTGAACCTTAGAAATAATCTGAAGAAATTATAGAACCACTTTGAAGAAAGTTAGTGTTGGACACTTTAATTATGTCACTAAAATATGAAATCTATTCAATTTTTGTTATAGCAATTGAACACAAATTATAATAGGAACATAGGCCTATGTAGTGT